GACAGGCTGAGGAGTGGTCTCTTCAGCTATTGCGAGGATTGTCCTGAGCTGAATAGAATACACTTCAGTGTCATTTGGCCTCAGTCAAAGACATGCGATGGAGGCACCAAGGCTACGTTCCCGCTAATGACACACGCTGCACAGGCAGAAAGCCCACAGAAATCATGTGTCATAGTACTGATTATATAAACTTGAAAAATAGTCTGTTGCCGCAGGGGAACACCAGGTGATATGAAAAGTCATCGGTTGTCTTCATAGCAACATATGAAGACCAAACGCTATAATAGAAGGGATCGAAAACATGAACATTCGAATGGACCAAATTACAGATCTGAATAAAACACGGGTTTCTCTCAACATCAATGACAACGAAGTGGGCAAGCAATGCATGACACCTTTCAGATATGAAAAGATACACAAAACAGGAGTCACGATATGTATAAACATCTAATTCAAAGAAACACTACCAATTAAGACCGAACAAACCGAGGCGATGAAATCAAGCCAATCTTGTTCCAGTGTGAACGTCGACACCTGGTTGGAGGAGAATATGTGGGTTTTACACAGGTGCTTAAGGCCAGAAACACAATCCAATCAAAGCGCTATTGTAACTACTACACCCAGAAGTCAGACAGATCATCGCAGCCAAAGATGTAAACAATTACGTCAATATCAACGAACTGAATATAACCTTTAAAAAGTGATTTCGTAGTCATATTGTGAAAGTCATTAGGGGCCCAGAAATGAATAAGCATATGAGTGACGTCACGGTATGAGATGACGGCGGGAAACCCTCAAACGTAGACTGCCTACTGTTAAACGATCTGCCCCCGGTTGAAGATCCCCCTGTGAAAGTGCCAATCACCAGTAGTGACCGTGGTACAGTCATATTTGATTCCATCACAAACGAGGTGCTTTAGAGGTACAAGGATACTTCTTACGTTTTTCGCTTCAGAAGAGACTACATGTACATGAGTAAGTGCCTTCAAAAGGCCATAATGCCGGAGGCCAACCATGGATGGACAGTGGGAGACCGCAACACATATTATTCAAAAGGATGGCCTGTGCAGCACCCTTTAGACTGAAAATATACTTGTCAAATCAGTATCATATTTCAAGTGAGATACAGAACAGCTGATACAAACAAAAGAGAGCCTGAGATAAATGGGAAGCCTTCCTAAAAGATCCTGGCGTTAGCTAGATTCAGTGCCAAAGCGAAGGGTGATAAAATATATTTACATGTCAAGCTAGTGATTAAGACACGTGTTAGTCTGAAATACAAACATAGGTTCATGGAAGAACGCACATATACACGCATAAAGGTTCGCGAACTGAAGGAGCAATATGGTGTGGATCCTATTATTCTGGAGATAGCAGAAACCGTTAATCCCAATGTCGAAATTTAGGGTATCGGAATGTCACGATATGGACATTTAGCCTCATGAGACTCAAACAACTTGAGTCCCAAATCGAAATCCCTTCCCCGTTGTCTCCACAGAGCGCGATCCAAGACAATCAACCACAGAAAACTTAAATGCCCTCTCAAACTGCATTGAAAATGTGAGCAAAACAAACCCACATCTCTACGCAGAATCAGATTTATGCTGTCACCCAAGAATTGTTTCAAACATCCTTTAGAACATGTACATGGCCTCGCCTCGAAGCTTTCAATGTTGTTTTGTTCTCTACCAAAAACAGATATGAATATCTTAGAACCGACTCAGAAATGACAAACGAAGTAGGTGATGGGGTGCGAAAAAAATCCTGCAGAAATGAGCTCCGATATTTTGGATTATTCTCGTGGGACTATCAGAGAGTAAGAGGTGACCTGATAACAGCTCACGATACTAATTACGCCAAGTCACCCTTGCGTGGGCACCCTTTCAGAACACCGCCCCCACGCCCTTCAATACAGAGTTCGGAAAACCATACGCCGAGACGCAAGGACTCAGACAGGAACTCTCTTTTTTATCACAATTTGTTTTCCCTTTCACTGCTCTCCCAGACGAAGTGACCACCGGGCTCTCCGGTTGGTAGCTCTTAGACGAGGCCTAACCGACAGATTATGATCTCGCACTTAGACTATTTGTGCCTGATCCATATTTCACAACTTATCTACCATTATTAGTACCACATAACTCCAGCCTATTCCAATCTCGAATATTGTCACGTTTATTTACCTGTTGTTCATACACTTCGACCTTCTCTTATTGTTTAGATTACAATGAAATAACTTATTTAATTATTTACTTCCAGAAATGGTCGCCTCTTCTTAGTGTTCGACTGCAAATCGTTTTATAATAACCCAACCGACTATGATTTATGTAATCGACTGCCTTTTTTATCACCTATAAGCCACTTCCGAAAACCTTGGGTCTCACGGAAATATAAGGGAGCGGAAAAGCGAAAACCTCAACTTATTTATACTGGCTTGTGACAAGGATATTAGACTTATTTGTGTATCGTTTTAGAATAGCATCAGAACAATGTTGTTACTATGTCAACATTATAGTCATGAATTTAAATGTTGAGGTCAAGCGATAGCCTGACACTGGAAAATTCATTGAACGCTTTTGAAAGCGAAGAGATACTTCAAGCTTTAGCAGTTGCTGGACTACTGAGTCAAGAGAAGCTTTATCTGGAGCTTACAAACGAAGCCGTAAATTTCGCGAGAAAAGAAAAGTTTAGTTTTTCGCAATTATGCGCACTCGTTTCGATAATTAACAGGGTGTTGAAAGAACTTTCAAGTAAGGAGTTCGGTGATAATAAGTAAAATCTCAGGTTCTCCATACGACGACATACAGAATGTCCTAGATGTATCGGACAAAATTATGATGAGTTACTCTATCCAGGTAATGTGACGTAACTCCAAGTTTTACTGTAGAGGATTATCTCAACAGAGGCCACCCCACTGCATTGAGTTATTTTCGATCGCTGATTCGTTAAAATGCGTAGAATTTCTCGTGGACTCATTGTTTAGACATTGGAGACTTTACAAGTTCGCTTTAGCTCCAACAGCACGCCTTTTACCTCAGCTCATTTACGATACAAAAGGTGAGTCAGGGATTAATAACTGACAGTTGAAGTCTTAATATGCTATTTACAAATACTTCCTATAATCAAGGTTTAGTTGTTTACCCGAAGATCTGTTAGTTGTGTCCCATGTATAAAAATCTTCGAATACAGACTAAAGTTTTATTGATGAAATATCAAATCCATACGAATGTTTTTGAAATCTACAATTGTCTATTCAACTTCTGTTTGCAAGGTTCTCACTGAACATTAAACGACAGAATTTTAACTAGCCATCAACTCATATTTCATTCATCACTTAATTTTTATCACTGAGGGTCATTTGGTGTAAGATATTAAAACTTTTGTAAACAGAAATGGAAGAGCACAATCCCAGTAAACATCCTGACATTCATCACTGAAACAAAACACTATTAGGAAAATAGACTCTTTACTAAGGTTATAAACTTTATTAGTTTATATCGTTACTGTGCTTAAGCTTTATACAGCTTACAAATCGAACCTTAGCCACTGAATTTGAAACGACTCTAAGCTTCCAAACTATTTGAAAATGAATTTCGCGATTGTAGACTTATCCCATGTGACATCAGGTTTATGGATTTATTTTGGTCAGAAATTGTAAAAGTGTTTTCAGATTGAAGATGTGGTGACCAATGCGTTTTAATAGGCTGACACTAAGACACTAAACTCGTGATCTAAAATAGCCCTTTTAGTATACAACATATTGAAATGTCTTGTTATTCAAACTTTCATTTAAATTCTCTTCAATTGTTAAAAACTTTTTGACAGATTATGAATCGGAAATTGTCGACTTGAAACCATCAGGTAAAATGAAAACGTGGTGAACCGAGTTAACGCCATTTTACTTTCTAGGAACTGATTTATTATACTCAATTTTAAAATATGCACTCGAAGATCAAATTGAAGTCAACAAACGTTAAAATCAAATCGGTAATTGATTTGTGACAAATTGTTCTAAGAGGTATCCTCTTAATTCTTACATGTGGTACGTTACGTAATCAACAAAGCGAACGCTTGTAGAGAGAACTTACGAAAACACTTACTGTTAATAAATGTATGTATAAAACTAAACTATGTTGTATTTCATGGAACAATTTCTATGACTACTATGATTAAGAAGTTAAAACAACGTGTATGCACTATTTTAAACGAAAATGATTTGCGTTGCTCCTAAAAGCCGGTCAAAATCATCTGGTGAAATAGTTTAGTATACTTTATGACATCAGTTACTACTACTTGGTTAACACACTAAATACAGTTTAACAAAGCAACGACGACTATAACAGCTTAGCAATAATAATCCTAATAATAGTGTCTAGATGGATGTTTAAATATTCATTGGGAAATGAGTTTGCTGATGCCTTGGTAAAAACAAGAAATCAAGTTTAAAACTTTTGTTTATAGCCTATGAACATGAATTACGTCCATGTGAAATTGTAAGGATACTAGTTTGCGAGGTTCAAGGACTTAAAAAGACGTCGTTATGTATGATTCTAATCTCTATATTCGTGATTGTTTGTCAGTTATTTTGTGACAAAATTACAGTTACAACCAACGTCAAACAGATTAACAATTTTTTATTCTTGATTAGAAGAGACGTAACTACAAGTGGAAATGTTCATACATTTACAGAAAATAGGAAAGCTTTCTGGTAAGACTTTTGAATAACACTTGGAAGTCAAGGAGGAAAGTAATGGTAGTCACAAGCAAGATCCTGTTCAGTATGGCTAAGAATATCAGGGAGAAATTAGGGTTTAAGCAAAAATCACAATTGGACTTTAAAAAACATAAAGTGAAAAGAAAATAGGTTTTATTTTTTTCGTGAAGGCTTAACTTGAGGTAACGTTAACTTTACACATCCTGGGAAATTACGCGATACTTCTTCATCTTTCATTGCACGTATTAATTCTCGTTCTCTGTTGTTTGTGGATTTGTCCGATGTAAACTGAAACAACGCCATTTTCGATGCTAATTTTAGGCAAATAGAAATAAAAAAATTCTATACTAGTCATAAACACGAAACCATAATAAATGTCAGTCAGCTACTCAACTAATTGAAGTTTATCAAGTCATTTTGCTTTGTAACAGCCTAATTTCACGTACCATTAGACATTTAACTGAACCCCTGGCGAATGTACATTTTCATTTTGCTTGTCCGTGAACAGAGAGATTAGACACGTTGATCCTGCTGACTACGCCGTGCGTGATGTAATTGCTGTCTCGAGTTTTGCTAATTATATGAAATACATTGTCCTATAAAGCTTTGTAGTTGGCTTCTGATTTTACAATTCCTGACAGAAGTTGAATCAGTAGTGTCTAGAACATCTGACGTTACGGAGTACCTCCAGACAGTAGCAATTTGGAGCGCAATTAGTTAAAAGATTCCTCAACCACTTCGATAAATTATAAGTCATCATACAAGCATACTGTTAATAAGCTACCAACAGAGGCTATTCTAATTTTTTCTTTAGACGAAAACGATGCTCAGTAAACGAGCTTTTGCAGATGCTATTATGAAATTGCTGACATTACATGAAGTATTACGTTGTATCAACTGAGAAGCACACTAGATAAAATAATAGTTAACACACAGTAGCGTTTACATATTAAGTAATAAGTAGAAAATAATTTGCACGGTTTAAACAGTATATACTTTAATCATTGCATCAAATTAACATCAATGTCCAAGAATATCATGGACTCCATGATGGATATACCAAGCTGTACAGAACAGGAATTACCTATGACTTTTGTAAACCAGTAACAGTAATGGAAAACGAAATAAAACTACGCTGGAAAATATGTGGAGTATAATTTTGAAAATATTTTAGCGCAGTAAGAGAAGATAGGCCGAAATTATTGGTCGTGGAGAATATGAAAATTTAATTCTTTAATCATTTTCAAGCTGGAAAAATGATTATTTTAGTTGAGGATTGATAACCATTCTAAATAACAGATAATGATGGCAAAATAATTTGTAAAACAGTAAACGGATATACAGATGTTGTTTATCATACCTTTTCCTCGCTTTGTAGTTCCTGGGTTCAGTTTTACTCTGAACTTATACTTTAATAGAACTGAATAAGGAGCACAGACTGGAATAGCATACAATAGTAAATCATCATCATTGGGCTGACCAGTCAATGAATTTAACAATGAAGTTAAATCATCTTTCGATTCAACTGGCATATTTTCGTCATCATCATTATCATTAGTTTTTACATCATTAACTTCTAAAGATTTTAAATCCTCTTCACTTTCATCTGATTTGACAGGATGATTGTCAATTTCACTGCTTGAATTACTGAATGATTCATTGTTATCACAGTCAGGTTGATTATTTTGTATACTATCTGAATTGTGAACAGCTTGAGTATCCCGTACAGATTGTGGGATTTTAATTAAATTTGACAAGTGATCACGTTCAAGAATTTGGTGATACTGACTCGGTTTGGCGTCGTCTCCCTATGATAAATATAATGAAGTTTGATGAGATGGACACTGCATACATATTATCATTAATATAACTAATAACAAGAAGGTTAAAGAGTTTAAAATTTATACTGATTTACAAGAAAATTTTGTAATGAATTAGAGGACTGCACTGACAAAACAGTATAGGACTTCACATAAAAGTACTGAAGTTCAAGATGCTGGCAATGGGTAGGGGTAAAATGACAGAAAAACAAGACATACAACGAATAAATAAACTATTCAGAATTTAAAAAAAGTGAGTAATGAACACTTCCGTCCTGTAGTGGTGAATTTTGTGAGCCGCCACTGACCTTTCTTATTCTAAAGAACCTCAGTCGTAAAGTATACGTAATTGATTTGTTAGGTTCTATGTTGCTTATGATTGACAAACTAACGTGCGCGAATACCATGAGGTGATTTGACCACACTTTTTTTCAATCTACTAATATCAGTGGTTGTTAAACATGTGTAATACATATCATAGCCAGTACATTTGGCACAATGGTACATCAGTGACTGAGTTGGCTCATGTAACTAGAGCTCTAAATTTTGCTTCAATACTGCATATTCAGTTCAACTTATGGCATTGATGTTTGGAACATAGTTATGATCGAATACCTATAACTCTGCAGTCACATGTCTTTAATAAGGTAAATATTATACAACATTAAGGAAGAACAGATTACATTCCCATGTAATAAACTTCTGTTTCCTGACAATACCAACAATTAATGTGTCAGCAGTTGCGAGTAATTTTTGTCTGTTATGGAGTTTAAGTGAAATCGAACAATCTATAACAAAACTGGTTGAGTACTCAGAATAACAGGGGAAAATAAATATTGGTGCAATAAATTATAATTTAGTGTTTCGAATAATGACTGTCAAGCTAATTTACAAATAGTACGACGAGGATGAATCGACATGAAAACAGTAGTAAAAGTGTTGGAGAAAATTGATTTGAAATGAATATTGTTAAGATATTTGCGAAAATATAAACAACAGGAGCATCTGGGATGTCACGTATGAGTGACGCTTTGACGGTGTAATTAATGAAATGCCTTAAAGGTTCGCATGATTTAGAATTTAATTGAATGTATTTGATGACCATAAATAAAAATAAAACCGTAGTTATGAATAAAGCATTCACAAGAGGTGCTAAAAACATGCCAGTGCTGTGATAAAAATACCGAATGATATTTAAGGAAGATTCTCATGAAAATCCTATGTAATATGATTTTTTTACCTGAAGTATTTTCATACGAAGAGTTCTTTCCTCGTCGTCTTGTTCGTTATATTTTTGTTTAATTTTTTTTAGCTTAGCTTTCTGACCACGTTTCAAAACCGGTTGACCAGCTGATGGTAGTAATGGCTCATTGAGTTTCTTGTTTACTTCAATGGTTTCTTTATTTAAATTTGTTGTTTTCTTGGTTGGTTTCGATTTTTCAACCTTTTGACCTCTTGTCCTAACTTTTTTAAAAGGATTTTCTGATAGAATCTCCGATACATCAGGATCTTTATGTCTGAAGCAAAATATAACAATCAAGGTTATTTTTAAATACGGTTTAAAGAAAATAAAATTTTAAGAAGTAGTGACATGTAAAAAGATTTCAGTTCATTTATTAAAAAGTTTATGAGAACGAACTAATTTTCCAGTTACTAGCAACCTATCAGGAACTACATACATATTTGTGTACCAAGTTATGAGTGTTAATCATGGGGTAGTAGCAAATAATGTTGCAAATGAGCCAGACTACCCGCTTACCGAGAAAATTGACGGACTAATTCATGAAGGAATATTAGTGTTTAAGAGTTTTGTATATCGAGAACTATTTTTTAATGATTAAGTAGACAACTAAGTGAATCATGGATAGATTGACTATCAAAGAATACTACATGACCACATGACCAAGTTGTGGCCGACATTAAATACGTCACATACAAAGGGGAATCTAAAGAGACAAATTAAACGTAAGTAAAACGCTCAGATTCCACCACTACAAGACATCCAACCAGAAATTTCACATTGATCGAAAGAATACCACCATTGATCAATCTTCTACGTTAACCCAAACTACCATAGTCCTTGGTGCAACACTAATCAAATGTACAAGTCAATCCTAAAAGCGCTGGTACCCACTTAGTCAAATGAAAAACACATGTCAAACACTTTTAGTTTTCTTTCTCCAAGTCATTTCGGAGAGTTATCCATAAGCGTTTTTACCCATTAAGAGTAGATTATGCATATACAGTAATTTGATATGAGAACTTATAATATATGTCTCAAGGAAAAATTGAAGGTGGGAACAAAAGTTGAGAAATTTAAGATCAAACGCAACATTCAATATAAAGTATAATAACCTTAAATACCAAAAAAGATAAACACTGAAGATATTGTTAGTAACGAAATAAGCTTAGCTTGTAAGAATATAAGATTTGAACACCGTAACAGATTAGCGAAAACAGCCACACTCATTTTGAATACCTTGGTAAATCATTTACTTTTCAATGTACCATAGCTGCTTTGAAAACCGTGTGATACATAGGGTTTACCGATGAAATATATTAAGAAGCATGAATACAGAGGATATAGCGAGACCAGCACCGCATGGGCCAGTCCATGGTACACGTCTGACTGGTGCTGATTTGGCTTGAGCTCAGTGACATTTCACCCGCGCTACAATAATCCGTGGGTTAGGCCTCCTCTCGGACCTGTCAACTGGGGAGCCCAGTGGTCACTTCGTCTGGTACAGCTTACTTACCTTCTTACGCCTGTTACTCTTCGTGTAAGGGCGTAGGCCAAACAACAGCATTCTCTGTCCACCTCTATCCTGGGCAATCCTTTCCAGTTGTTTACAATTGCTAATCATTATTTTCATGTCTGCTTACAGTTCACAACGCAGTGTGTTCCTTGGTCTTCCTCTTTTCATTTTATTAAAATGTCAAGGTAGCGCTTGCGTTGTGATGCAGTTTATTTATTTCCGTAATGAACATTCTATCCGCCTTCAGCGTCTTTTCTTTAATTCCTCTTCAGCTGGAAGTTGGTCTGTTCTCTCCTACAGTAGGCTGTTGTTGATGGTATCCGGTCAACAGAGACTGAGTACCTTGCGTAGACAACTGTTTTTAAATACTTGTAAACTTCAATGATGTTTGTACTAGCTCTCCAAGTTCCAACTACACACAGTAAAACTCCTGAGTTGAAATTATGACTTTGATATTGGTTGACAGTTGTTTTGAGCTTCACATGTTCTTAAATTGTAGGAGCTCGGCCCTTGCTTTGCCAATCCTCTGCTTTACGTCTGCATCTGATCTACCACGTTCATCGATGACGCTACCCAGATACGTGAAAGCTACGATCTCTTTAAGCTCTTCATCATCGAGTGTGATTGGGTTGATGTTCTTCGAGTTGTATTTCAGGATATTGGTTTTTCCCTTGTGTATGTCGAAGTCTACTGATGCGGAGGCTTCTGCTATACTGTCTGCTTTGACCTACACTTGTGTGCGTATGGGATAGAAGGGTAAGGTCATCTGCAAAACAAACCCACATCTCTACGCAGAATCAGATTTATGCTGTCACCCAAGAATTGTTTCAAACATCCTTTAGAACATGTACATGGCCTCGCCTCGAAGCTTTCAATGTTGTTTTGTTCTCTACCAAAAACAGATATGAATATCTTAGAACCGACTCAGAAATGACAAACGAAGTAGGTGATGGGGTGCGAAAAAAATCCTGCAGAAATGAGCTCCGATATTTTGGATTATTCTCGTGGGACTATCAGAGAGTAAGAGGTGACCTGATAACGGCTCACGATACTAATTACGCCAAGTCACCCTTGCGTGGGCACCCTTTCAGAACACCGCCCCCACGCCCTTCAATACAGAGTTCGGAAAACCATACGCCGAGACGCAAGGACTCAGACAGGAACTCTCTTTTTTATCACAATTTGTTTTCCCTTTCACTGCTCTCCCAGACGAAGTGACCACCGGGCTCTCCGGTTGGTAGCTCTTAGACGAGGCCTAACCGACAGATTATGATCTCGCACTTAGACTATTTGTGCCTGATCCATATTTCACAACTTATCTACCATTATTAGTACCACATAACTCCAGCCTATTCCAATCTCGAATATTGTCACGTTTATTTACCTGTTGTTCATACACTTCGACCTGTCTGAAGCAAAATATAACAATCAAGATTATTTTTAAATACGGTTTAAAGGAAATAAAATTTTAAGAAGTAGTGACATGTAAAAAGATTTCAGTTCATTTATTAAAAAATTTATGAGAACGAACTAATTTTCCAGTTACTAGCAACCTATCAGGAACTACATACATATTTGTGTACCAAGTTATGAGTGTTAATCATGGGGTAGTAGCAAATAATGTTGCAAATGAGCCAGACTACCCGCTTACCGAGAAAATTGACGGACTAATTCATGAAGGAATATTAGTGTTTAAGAGTTTTGTATATCGAGAACTATTTTTTAATGATTAAGTAGACAACTAAGTGAATCATGGATAGATTGACTATCAAAGAATACTACATGACCACATGACCAAGTTGTGGCCGACATTAAATACGTCACATACAAAGGGGAATCTAAAGAGACAAATTAAACGTAAGTAAAACGCTCAGATTCCACCACTACAAGACATCCAACCAGAAATTTCACATTGATCGAAAGAATACCACCATTGATCAATCTTCTACGTTAACCCAAACTACCATAGTCCTTGGTGCAACACTAATCAAATGTACAAGTCAATCCTAAAAGCGCTGGTACCCACTTAGTCAAATGAAAAACACATGTCAAACACTTTTAGTTTTCTTTCTCCAAGTCATTTCGGAGAGTTATCCATAAGCGTTTTTACCCATTAAGAGTAGATTATGCATATACAGTAATTTGATATGAGAACTTATAATATATGTCTCAAGGAAAAATTGAAGGTGGGAACAAAAGTTGAGAAATTTAAGATCAAACGCAACATTCAATATAAAGTATAATAACCTTAAATACCAAAAAAGATAAACACTGAAGATATTGTTAGTAACGAAATAAGCTTAGCTTGTAAGAATATAAGATTTGAACACCGTAACAGATTAGCGAAAACAGCCACACTCATTTTGAATACCTTGGGAGATCATTTGCTAAATCAAGTTGAAGAAAAGCATCAGGAAATGCTGTAGTTTCTTCATTATTCTGGATGGTTAATGATTCGAACTGATTAAGGGGCATTTCGTAAGATGGCGTGTCTATGATGATGATGCGACGCTCTCCTTCATGTTTAGCTATAGAATCCTCATGCAACTGAAATCGTAAAACGTATGGAGAAAAGAATTACAATGTGTTGCAACAAAGCATAATTTATCTGGCCCATTTAAACTACTTTACAGTTATAAAGGATAAAACCACAGTGACTACAAACTTTTGATAGAGAACAGATGAACTGTGGCCGACAATGGAATTTAGGATGCACGTTTTGCCCTATTGGGAACTTGTTAACTGGGTGTACCTACCTGGATTCTAGAGTTGATGTTCACTTCAAGACTAGAATGCAGGACCATTCACATCAAAGGCCATCGCGTTATCCACTAAACTACTGAGTCCATATAGTAATTCACATGTCCAGCAGGTATGAGTTTTAATTCGAGTTACCAACAGAACGCTAAATTCCCTGTATATGTATATAGGAATTGATGAGAATCATAGATGCAACGAAAACCTTCTTCATGAGTGTCGAAACGCCTCAAAAATAAGATGGTTAAATTTGTCTTTCATGTATTGGATTAGTTTTATTCTAATTATGCTATTTTACGGCGTAATAATTAGATTTATTATTATTCCTGACTCAAAACACCTTGATTTTATAAAAAACAGCCATTTCACAAAGAAATAAACATACTCATGTCGACTTCAATAGAGTGTCACTTTTGTGTTTCGTTTTTTGAACTATCGTTGCAACTTTAATGATAACAATACAAAAAACTTTCATGTTCCACCCTACTTATGGCTGAAAAGTTAAAGTCGTCTGTAAATCTAGTAAGCACCCTTCGAATAAAATGAATTCCTATTGTTCTACAAGTCTTTTTATTCTAGCTATTTTAAGTACAGAAACGTAAACTTTTACCTTAAACATAATTCCAAATCCATAGTCGAAGGGACATGGAGGTAAATAGTTTTTCTTCCCACGTATCATAAATGCACCAGATGTAAGGTATTCACCACTTGGAGCTGTTTTTGAAACTTGATCATGATGGACCCACCAAGCTCTTGTTAGAACATGACTTTGCCATGCAGAACTTAGTACTACCGCCATATTTCCAGCTTCTAACAAGGTTTTTGGAGGGGGTAATGGTAAACTGTGTTGATGCAATAGGTCTACACAAAAAAATTGGAAAAATAATTTGATTAACTGTTTTAGTTAGTAGGAAAATACAGGTATACTAATGAAGTGTTATATGGTGATTAGTTTTATTGAGATAATCGATGAGCAACCTAGAAGTGTACTGACGTGTGACTTCGAATGTTATGGAAATATATAGTTGAAAGTATACAAACTTTATGAAGTAAAGGAAATCACTATGGACGTACCTGTAAAGTCTATAATTATAAACTGGATATTATTTTATAATTATAATGTAGTAACCGTGTTATAATTTAGAATTGTAAGTTAAAAATAATATAAATCATTTGCCGATTACATGTTTATGCACTCGGGTTAGAGTTATATAATAGATATGAGAATTAATGATGCTACCCGGCTGGCTGGAGCAAATTAGGTGGAGAGGAGTTTGAACTAGGTACCCATATGGTTGAAAGTCGACAACTTTAGTCACTAACCCACTATTCTACTTTAACTTACCCTGATGGTCTGAAGAATCTACCTCTTCAGAAGTTAAATGTCGGGCCTTTATTATAACAGTGCTAGCACCATGTATATCTGCATGAACAAATATATCGCCCGGTTTTAAGTAACGTTTTACCAATACTTCATTTTGTTGTGAATCATGACCAGCAACGACCAAGTAATTTTCTGAACTGATAAACCAGAAGAATTTTTCAAACCTTTGTAAAATAAATAAAACTTTAGTGAAATATATGGATGCGTATCAAAAATATAATTATTTTCCCATAAATTGAAGTCAATAAAGAATGAAAATACCTATTAAGTTGTACTATACATCAAGCTCTAAATTGCAGGATTGAATCAGCAGTCTAGGCACTTAATTATCAACTTTCTCCACTTAAACTTGGACAACTGTACTGGCATACCATACTTTTTAATTGGTGTCAAGTGAATGAATACACTTAGAATTTTTATGTGGGTCTCGAAGACACAGTATACTGATAAAAAGCGACCAAAATAAAGGTCGTGGATTAATTCGGTACAATAAGCGTTCACTTTAACATACGATTATATTTTCACAAACTCAGTTATCAATTACTCCAGTATGCCATTACACTATATCGTTATTATTAATGGCTTTATTCAATATTATATTTTCGGTACAATATAGAATTCTCAGCATAAGGTATTTCAGAAAGTTTCTTTTGCAGAAGGAAAAAAAGTGAAAGAAACTGATAACTACGTACATATACACATAAGTTAAGTAGATAAACTACCTAAAATTAAATTAAATGTTTTTTAAGACGGTTTGAACCTGAATAATTTTTTTAAAATTCGAAATATGTTTAGGAATACAAGTTATTGACTAGGTCAATTCTAACAACCTATTCGCCACATAGTATATTTGCCAGATAAGGTGTACGTCAATCTTTTCTTTATCTTTTCTCCACATTTTCAGAATGAGATTATTTGAGAAGGATCTGTTAAAGATGCGTGTGAATGGATAACACAGAACATCAGTACGCCTTTTAAAAAGGAGGTTAGGAATTCATGAAGTCCTAAACAATGGGAAGAGCTAAAAGACTGGAAAAATGTCCGGACATCAGTTTCAGTGAAAATCGAAACATAACTATTATTCGAACCTGTGGATATAGGAAGCATGAAATCAGATGAGTGACGTACAAAAACTTCTTTAAGTCATAAACATACCACTGGGTGTCGCTTCTAATGTGTCTTTCACCTGTAAACTCTTTAGATAGTTTACACATACTTGAAGAGCTTTTACAAGATAGGAGTTTCCGAGTAAACATTGAGTTCAGATGCCTAATCTCTAGGTTTATTAGACCATTTAGCTTCTGAACTTCTGCATTCTTTCTTTTACCCTCCGTAATCGTTTTAGTTGTGATGTAAGTAGATAGAAACTTATAAAAACAGTTTCAGTGGAACAGCAAATATCAAAACAGAATTTAAGATAAAAAACGATATTATCAACAGTATTTTTCAGTGAGTCATCTGTAAATAATCCCCAGTAAGTCGTACGAAACATGTTTTTCAGATTTTTGATATTTTCTTCTGAGAAGTTCTTGTATTTGACTTTCGTTGTCTGATGTAATAGTGAAATCTTTCCAAGCTTGCAATATACTTTAGATAGAACATGAATTATACAATGATCAGAATTAGACAATGGAGAACGTTTGCGAGTCACATATGTTCCCACATCAATAATGAAAACCTAGTCTACATGGGCATCCGAACAAGTGAAAAAATCTATTAAATTTTGGTGACCTGGTGATGAAAGCTACAATCACATAAATTGAAATCACATACGATGCAAAGTGAACCACTGAAGGTAGTAACAGAAAATTCAGTGAATTCCTTAACGAGAAACAGATAACCCGGATGATGCGCAGTCCGAAGTCACGTGGATGTTGATAACAATTGTATTTAATCAAGTTTTAGACATCTTAAAGTGCAGCATACAAAAGTAGATTAACACCAGTTTACGTTTACAAATCTAGCTGTTAATCAATCACTCAGTATTGATATTTGTTCACTATTAGATCGACCGAATTATAATTATTGAAATGTATTAGCCAATCGCTGAAAAAATCTGTGTATGAAGCTCTATTTCTTTCATAAAATATAAATCTTTGCAGTTATAGGTTAGACATTGTATTCCAATTAGTTAAAGGCGAAGTCAAAAGTATTGAGACCATAGTGTTGAAAAGTAGTTGCGATTACCCTTATGTTACTGTTATGTTGGTCTTTCGGATTGTGTAGAAAAGAGAGGGTAATAACACATATCCAAAACAGGATTTCAGAGCTGTGACCGGAACAAGTATGGGATAATTAAAAGCCTCAGTTAAAGGAGTCAACTTTAGGCTTCTAGACAGACTGAAGTTGGGTATAAAAAAGGAGTCATCTGTCGTTCATCGTTCATAATAGTCAGAGTTATAGAAAGCTCCTAAATTTAATTATCGTGTCATATAGAAGGATGTAACAGATAAGGCACAACTTTTTCCCATTGTATCTTTGATCTCATACATGTCACTATTAACCATAACTGACTGTCGTTATAAAATAATTCATAGTGCATGTAATTAATATCAACTTGTAGCACCAAATGATTGTATTGAAAAGTGTCAGGTTCAGGGAGAACGAAACTAATCTTGATAATTAACTACGAACATCTCGAAAAAGACACTTCATTTGAGAAATATTAAGAACATTTTACAAAAATGCATAAAACGAACGTCTCTGTAGATATTAAGGGGCAAAGCATTAACCTTAGTCATTGCATACAGATAAACATACCACATTGGTTTACGAACTTCTGTAATTTGTGCAACAGTTTTAGCGGTTTTCATTTTCATTTCAGCATTGTGTACGGCTGATTTCAAAACCTGTTAAAGACAGTTTAGATAAAGATACTTTACATCTATTAAAATAAGAAGTTATAATTGACTAATGGGTTGATTTGGGTACAGCGATCATACAGAGCAATGCTTCGTAAACAAATTATAATTAACTCTTTAGTCTGTTGTACATACAGTCAGATGAATATCTGATTTTTTTAAAAACATATTGACATGAATAGCTATTTCACCATATAATTAGAATGTATTTCTTTTTCAAGCTGCATTCAAATCTGAGGCAAATTAGATTCCATCTGGTTTAATTCTTATATTTACGCTAATGCAAATGGTTTGAGATATTAAAGTATATTTACCTAGAAATTCACGGTAAAACTGATGCCAAGCACAGTAACTAATGAATAAAATGTCAACGAATAATAAATATGGAAAAGATGACGAAATCAAAGTGAACTCAACTAATTAAATGAAGCCATTGTTTGGAATCATCATCAAAACTATTTGTTTCGAACAGATTTGTATTAGGTTTTGAGCTACATTATACGCGTGAAAGCTAATAACAATACGAAGTTGCTAAAAGCAGAGTATTTTAAATTAACGACCTAATGGTGATAAGCAAAGTACTTTAAAGACAAAGCCACAATGGCTAGTACCTTTACTATGATTGTGAGTAGTACCATTTATTTAATTACAAAATGGTCGGAAATTTGGCATAAATATAAATATAAATCAATCTCAGTTGCTATATTTCAAAGGATCATAAGGAGAGGATATTAATTGATTGAAAAGCAAAAAAGCCGAATAATACTGATAGTAGCGGAAAATAAGTACAAGGAATACAGTTCACAAGTCAATAGAGAAAATAAGGAAATAAAGATAGGAAAGTACTAATCTAAAGATGTATAAGAGAATAAAAAATGAATACATCTGTGACATTAAGTCTGGTTATAATGCATACCTCAGCTACAGTTTAAAGTAATAGATTGCAAGACTATTATCAGCTGTTTACTAAATATCCCCCTTCATTCCTTAAAACCACTACTACGGCTATGAAACTGAAAAGAAATATTTTTTCTCGACAACTACACATGATAACTAACGCAAAGCATGATATCATTATACTCCTAGATTTAGTTCACAGTTAACGTTGCACACTCGTGAACGATAAGATTAAAGGAGAAAACAATAGTAAAATTTTATTACTTTGCGCGAAACGCTGATAGTTTTTTCTTCTTTTTTACTAGCAGCTCGTTTCTTATCATAATATCTGGAAAAGGAAGAAATGTGGAAAATATAAAAAAAATTGTGATAACATTCACTAATAAACGTATGAAAAATAGTAATATGTATGTTAAGTAACTTTATGAACTGATACTATGTATTTATTTGACTACTTTTTACCTTCTTTCATCATTCCCCTACGTTAGTAACCACTGTTAATATTAAAAAGCCACAACTGAGCATGCGAAACTGTCCCACTAAATAACGCTTTTGGAAAGTATAGGAAATGAACACTGTGTTTCACTACTTGTTTCAGATTAGGAGAGAAACTGCCTAATCATCAAAGAACTAGTTAACTTACTTTCGTGCATTGGTTAGAGCATTGACGTCTATATCTACAACTACTTCTGTATATTCATGTTTCTTGCCTGATTTCATTAAGGTTTCGTTAACATCGCTTGAACTTTCAAAAGGATCTCTGAAATAAATGAGATGAAATTTTTTGAGTATGAAAAGTTAGATACAAACAATCGAGAGGAACAAAATGCAGTAATAAACTACTTTAAACGTATGACAGCCTGACTTGTTTGTAATTTTAACTCGACAATATGACAGGCAAGTGGATCATCACGTTGTTTTGCGTCTTCAACGATTAATGATAATTCTTTCCAGTCTATTTGATTTGATAATGCATGATTGATCATGATAATAATATTGTCAACCTGAAGATAGAAATGAAATACAACTGCACTCAAAATCGGCATTACAATTATTTTAGAAATTGAAGTGATATACAGCTAATTAGTTTTGCTTTGAATTTACTTAGTATTGTGTGAATTTTCATGTATAATGCAGAACCAACTTAAGTAGGCGGAAAACGATTCTTACTATGTTATGTTGTGAGTAGGATGTACAAAACTTTGACATGAAGCTGTAGCCTGTAGTATTTAAACCAAACTAAATGAGAAAAACACGTTGATTACGCTGGAAGACTGACACCATAAATCCTTCAAAGTTGAAAAAATTTAAACTACTGTTCAGTACCTCTGTGGTCCTATGGGAAAGTCCTGGTGATAAGATCAAAGGCTTCACACTTGGTATAGGAGTTTATTGAGGATGGTACAATACTCAGAAGCTTTGAAACGTAGGTAGAAAAGTAGTTAATATCTTCTTAATTATAACAGATGATTAATTAATGAATACAGACTTAAAACTAACGAGTTTTAAAAAGTTAGCAAGCTGAATATGAACCAGGTATTTGTTGTTTCGCTTGCTAATCAAGCAATAATATTATTTTCTAAAATAGAGATGAGCTTTAAAAGCAAAAGAAGAAACTTACAAGCCGACGATTAGCTTCAAGCAGGTAAGCCTTTTGCATATCTAACTCCTGAATAAGAAAGAAAAACGGGATACGAGATAAAGGTTATTAAAGGAACAGGCTATAGTGAACAATTCAAGCAGACTGGACACAGTAAGGTTGTCGTATGAAACCCAAAGTGGCAGCTGGTAATGAGACGACTAGAATAACCTCTCACCATATACGTACGGTATAGTCATGCCGAACAACCGTAGAAATAAAAGTTTTGTAGTTACAGTAAACCATGTTAGTTTCAAAATTTATCGTAGTCGGAATTAACATCACCAGAGTTTATGACGAACGATTGGTATACAGACGGGGTCCTTTAACTAGAGAATAATCTCACATACCTTTTAATGCCTTTTATCCATTAAACTATTAAGTATGAGGAATAAAGAGACTAAACAAAGAATAACTTAAGGCAATTAATGAGAATCGTCAAAGAATATCTACCTGGATTTTAGGAAAATGAATGACACAGCAACTAAAAGTGATGAGTTAGGTCAGAGAAACTCCCTAATTTATATAAGCCAAAAAAGAAAAATGAAAAGGATCTCCTCCAGATTTTTGCACTAACAGTTGCATGAGAATTCAATTTGCAACGGTGAAAAACAAAACACTAATACATTTGTAAGCATTGAAATTGTAACTAGATGAAGAAAACCTTTTTGTTCTGGGAACATATCGATGGTCAGGATTGCTTGATAAATCCATGAAATAATAATAATGATAATAATGACAATAATCATTATAATAATTATTATTATATCATCCGTAATGTTTTTTATGTAAATGGTTTATCCACAATAGTATATTTCTGAAGGCGAGTTAACGAATCATTATACGGAGGGAATTACTGATTTTTTATGGAAAATCAATCTATCCTATTACAACTTACAAATTTCAACCCAGTATGGATATCAAACTACAGTGAAAGTACTGATAAACCTGTAGTCTATTAGTCTCATAATTTAAATTTCAACTTACTTGTTCAGTTTTTAGTAACATTAAACGCCGTTCCTGATCTTTTTTAATATTTTCAACTTTTCTACTAGCCTTTTGTTCCTAAAAATAAAAAGGCTAGCAGTTAGGCAGCGGAAGTAATGCATTACAAGCAATAATGGGTCAATTAATAAAAGAAAACAGAATATTTTTGTGGAGATATACACCAAATATTTAAGAAGTGTAAGGAAATGTTGTCGAATATAATTTGTTCTTTGGACAACATTTTGGAATTACGTTCTACTTTCAACTTTCATGTCCGAAAAGAAAATGAAATAAATTAATTGGTGCTAGATCACACAGTGCCTATATATATATATATATATATATATATATATATATATATATATATATATATATATATATATATCATTTGCTTATCATTCATGAGTTGTCCTTTGTATACTTCATCATTCTTCCAATCCTGTTGTTATTCCGATTGCTCTCTTGTTTTCCTTCCTCTTCTCTTCATTTCATCCTTCTGCTGGTAAGCCTTCCATTTTCAATTCCAGTTACCTGCTACTCATATCTGTTTATGTTAAAAGTGCACACCACAATATTAGTATCACATACATATATTTGCCAGATATACCTTTCTGGTAGGTCCCAACAAATTCGACACATCAGTCCAGGATATCTTGCTGATTGTATCTACCTATCTATAATTATAGGATTTTTATAAAATTGAGAGCAAGAAGAGCGAATGTTCGGCGCTTTACCCGGGTTGGTGGATACGGAGGATCCACTTAGGGGAGTTGGAAAACCCTGATTTCAAACCAATGGTGCACATGGGTTCCATTATCCTTAAGGGAAAAACGGCGTACGAACCAGTTGTTGGTCACCAGCTCCATGGGACTGCATCTCCTAACGTTGCTCCACATCCTTACGGACTAGACCTACAAATCAAAGGCTCAGGAGTGGCCTCTAAGAAAACCATCTGCTTCGGTTTCGGGACCCGGGCAATATTCCAGCCCTCACAAAAATCAAATGATTTGTGTGGCGCATATATATATGGTGATTCGTACTAATGTTTATGTGTTCAAATAAACAAATAACCCATGGTATAAGATATAAGACTTGTTAATACTGTAGGCCCGGATGAGAGTCAAAGAAATAATGGAGACAAGATCACGGTATATATATATATATATATATATATATATATATATATATATATATATATATATATATATATATATATATATATATAGAGAGAGAGAGAGAGAGAGAGAGAGTGGAAATGAAGAACTCCGTGAAGCAAAATAAAAACTTACATTTCGTGAAATTTGTTCTAATGTTTTCTGACTTTCAATTTTTGAAAAGTATGCGTCCACTGCCTATGCAAATTTTTAGTAACAAGCAGAAAATAAAACTATCAGCTTTTAGTTTCTCATACATTTAAATGTTGAAATGAATGTATTGTACGCATCATTTATATAAACAAGAACTAAACTTATTGGCTTATATGTGGATCATAAACAATGTCGAACCTGGTATACACGTGGATTAGTTTAAGTTGCTTGTGTGTAGCTGAGAACAAAGCAGCGAGATATAATGAATTCATCGTATCTTTCAAACATTGTTATTTGCGCTTTAAATTTACAAGGCATTTATATAATAATACTTCCTACACAAACAAACCTAACAGACATATTATACATCCTTGATGATGATCAGATATATTGTCACACAACAAAATGAACACAAGATAATTCATTGAAGTGAAAAATTCACATTAGGAATTCTCAGCTCACCTTATTGAAACTATCAAATACTAAGTGAGGTTTATCTCGATATTGTTCGAATATGAATGGGTGAAATTCTTCATAACTGAAATAAATAAAAGATCTTTGAACAAATAAAGAAAAGCTTTACTGAATGACATTATTATCATCAAATGGATACATGAGACCGAGTCTATTTTGGTACCACTTAAAAACCGAGTACAGATCCACGTAGTAGGTTGTTACTTAGATACCCCAACAAAAGTGAAGGAACATGAACCTGTTGTGTCTATTAAATGTTTGACTGACCCCCAAATCCATAGACATTTAGTGAGAGAACAAAAAGTGGTAATAAGGATTTATTTGACCCCCGGGATAAATCACAAAGATATATAAATAAACTACTCTTTATATGATTTATTTAGTCAGATTAACAATCAGATCTGTATAATTTGACTGAGTAGTACTTAACATCAGTTATTCAATAACTTACTATGAGGACACATATTTGTAATATTATGCTGATCGATTTCCACATGAACTTGATTTTACTCGTTTGATCTTGTCATAAAACAAATAGGTTTAACTGAAAGTGTTGGAATGGAAATCAATTATTTCCCCTTCGTAAGTAGTATGTAAACTCCAAACGGTGTTTGAATTTTGGTGGTTGGCATCCTCTTGTAACTGCGCTCATCCGATTGTCATAACTGAAAGTTAAAGCTGAACGTCTACAATCTGTCACCAATCCTTAAGATACTTTATTACCAATATGACCATATGAGTTGAGAGTAACAAAACATTTAGCGCTGATAATGTGACCATTCAATTAATAAACACCTTTGAATAGTACACAGAGGGTCCTTGTAATGTGGTCATATATGGTATGAATACTTGTAAACTGATCATTAATAAAATGAACACTGTTAGCACAATCACTAGTAACATGAGTACTTGTTACATTAGCACTAACATAATGAATATTTGATTGACCAAGCTCCCGATGAGGTTTACACTAAATGAATGTGACATCAAAAAGTTTCCAATTGCCATTTAATAATTTGATCCCATATGAAGTAAAGCGAGATTATAAACCCGAGGTTAGGGTTACTGAAAGTCAATTCCCGGACGGGTTACCAGTATATGAAACTGCTGACAGTAGTGGCCTACCTAGGTAGTTGGTGCCGACATAAGAAGAGTTAGTAACATGGTTTACCAAAAAATGTCTGACGCAACACATGAATCATATGCGATCTAGAAAGCTTACACCAATTAAGAAATACCCTAGGCCCAAACATTGGACTATCTTGTTGATACGGTCTATCGGGAACAACCAAGCCGAAGCATCAGAAACAATAACCGGACCTAGAAAATACCATAAAGAGTCTCCATCCCTAATACCTTCAGTTGAGTCAGAGAAGTCGGATCGATTTTCAGGAAAGGAACGTAAGATGAAAGCATCAAAACAGAAAAATCAAGTTCATGTGGAAATCGATCAGCATAATATTACAAATATGTGTCCTCATAGTAAGTTATTGAATAATTGATGTTAAGTACTACTCAGTCAAATTATACAGATCTGATTGTTAATCTGACTAAATAAATCATATAAAGAGTAGTTTATTTATATATCTTTGTGATTTATCCCGGGGGTCAAATAGATCCTTATTACCACTCTTTGTTCATAATATTCTAGATATAACAAGCACATTATTGATACCTTATCTTATATTACTTCCATAGGGCTAGTTATATAGGTCGTACTTAAAAAGCCTTATCCTTGCACGTTCATGTGTCTGCATACTAGTGTAAGCAAGATACCTGTTTGTCAAATAAGAAGAGTATAACACTCAGTGGTCCATTCGGTATTACTCTATGATAGTGGAAAGGGCTGTGAAAGTAGATGTGCACAGGATGTACTTTTTTACCACAGTTTTCTTTAAAGTATTTGTCAGAACGACTGAATGAAAAATGATCTAGGTAGGTATAGAGTAATTAAGAAAGATTGCAAATTGGTCAACGAGGCTGCGAGTCAGAATTCGCTAAGGTGGTTAGGAAATATATGTTACACAAGCTCAACTGCCGCCCATCTCATGTGCACAAATAGCTGCAGTAGTAGTAAGTCGGAAGATGTACTTCACATACAAACAGTAAAAAATCTTCTTAGTATTATTCACAACCAAAATTCATATAAGATTAGAGCTCTTTAAAAAAATTAAACAACAACCCTTTTGGACATGATGATAACAAAGAAAAGAATCTGCTCTAGACATACGAATATTCGAAAATAGAGCCCCAAGAAGACCCGGTAAACACTAGTTGGTTATGTAGTACTAGTACGCAACGAATAACTAAAAACCTCCTTCAAAACATCTTACGTTCGCAAACCTTCGTCCGAAGATTGATAGGATTTCCCAAATATATAACCATGTGGAGTCGTTTGACGGTCACATAAGAGTGGTTCTAGTAAAATATCTCTCAAAGCCACAGCGAAGTGTTTGACATACAACTCCATCAAGTCCTCTCTTTCGGATTGTAGCTGGAAATCTTCTTTATGATGCTTCATCTCTTTGACTTTGTTTTCGGCTATACGCATGCAGTGTTCTATGATGACGCTGCCATAAGCTAAATCCAGGGATGAATAAATTGGCATTTACTTACGTAATTCCAAAGATAACCTTTTGTTTATGGAAGGGTCGTCACATGTTTTTGTATTGGAAGTCCAAGGTCCCTTAGATGATTGGAATAATGGAGTGAGGAAATTCTCAATATCCTTTAAAGATTTTTGGTCTTTTAATTCGCGAAAACATTCCAGGATCTGACGACAGGAAGTTATAGGATACTTCTCGTGGGCTGCAAATCGAATATTCTGATTTTTATCAGTTCGGGGACGCAGCAAGTGAAGGATCGTAAATGAGTCATCAGTAAGAAGCATATTCCCCTATAAAGTTACGAAGTATTTCATGAGAATAATTGGGAGATAAACTTTACAGAAAACGACCGCGTGAGTGGTGGAAAATTGCAAAACTAAAGTTTTTAAGATATTCAGCGTAAGACCAGAATAATATGGGCGAATACGTATATGTAATGAAATCCGGTGTGTTTCGGTAAACGGACTAGATCAATGTTACGGAGGGGAGCTTTATAGTTTGATGAGACGAATCTTCAACTATTGAAATGAAAAAACAAAATGCAATGATACGGTATGGTCGAGTGATGGCTGTTCATGAGATCGTATTATTCGGGCAATCCTCCAAATGCTTTAAGTTGAAATACAAGATCACCAACTAGAATAATGAGCTTATAGGTAATAAAATGACGTGCTTATATATAAGACATTGAGAACAAACGGCATAAGGGTGAACGATCGTTTTCGATAAGTTCTGCATCAGGCTTTGAAGTCGAAGATCTAGAATTATTATTGTGTCACAATAGATAGTATTAAAGTTGAATTAATTGATGTTATAAGTCGGGAATGGCAAACTTCAAGTCCATTGAGCTTTAACTGCTACAAAACATTAACGCGAAATAGGAATGATACATCAGGCGATTGAAGTTAGTTTGTGTACCATTAACTCTCGAATCAATTAAGGAATGATAGTTAAGTTTAATTCTTGGGCACTATTAATTACAGGTCCAGTCGAATGGAGGCAACATAGAACCTGGCACGTTCACGTTGATTCAAGTTACCATACCCCTATTAGCATGATGAGATGAAATAATCAAGATGAGTTCAAGAGTAGTAGAGGTGGTAACAGTATTGGTGGTAATACGAGACAATAGACAAGATACAGAGGTAGGGCCTTTGAGAGCACAAGGCTAACACATTACCAACTTATTGCAGAAAGGTCATGTGTCACGAGCCTTAAGCTTGTATCTTCTAGGTGCTCCAGACACATTTTCAGATAGTTACGAACACTACCAATCCAGTTTCCTTTTTAGGTCCGCTGAGAAGAAATATCCTCTCGTGTTGTGAGGAGCCAGGAATTGATAGCAGCTCTACTGTCCGACAGAACTCGACATCCGCTTGTTTACGATAAAATCTCTTCATCACTTCTGATCAACAGTTTCAAATTAATGGCTAGGTCGACAAATGACCAATTGGTGCATTATCGACAGTTTGAATAACTTACCAAGGTGTTAGTCAGTTAGTCAGTCAGTGATACAAATACCATCCAAACAGTGACTATAAAGAAAAATTTTGTTCGGAAAACTACATTACAAGCATTTAGAAAAAGACTAAGTTTTAAATAAATATTCTTCTGTAGCTTGACGGACTATTGAATAGTTTTGGATGGAATACTATCATGATTGAGACAACCTTATTAACGACTTTAGGAAAGGTCGTTAAGATTTATGAGATACTTGAGTAAACGATTTGAGTTGCCAGTACAATAATTTCGTGTAACTCATTAGCAGCCAACGTGACCTTTATTGGTCAATGTCCATTGGCGCATAATCGGATCAGAAGAGAGCTATGTTCAATGAAATTAAGTTGCAGCAACAGTCCATGCAGTTATTAAATATTAGTCGAAAAGAATCAAGAGGTGCAGAATACTAGTTGAGATCTTGAGGGACAATCAAGACCTTTGATTGAAGGTAATTCGTGACATCGTTTAAAATCAGTTGCGAAGGAGCAGACGAAACAAACCTTGGTAAAATTTTCCAAATTCTAGCTTCAATATTACTTAAGTTTATATTCTTATTTCTCTTGGAGGCATATTTTTCGAAGACTGGTTGATTTTTACAACGACACTACTATTGTTTTAGTTTTTCAATGTATTATTTCGTTTCCTCTTTTTATACTGACTTAGTGTGGGAGCTTATGCCGTTGAACTGTGTCAAATTCTATAGAGGTCATCAATGAAACAAGTTATTGAGTGCTGTTACAGTATTGGTCTGGGTATTAAGATCCACGTCCATTCCCATCAAATCAGTTAACAAACTTAAATCGTGTAAGATGTGGGGTTGCTGTATGAATTCATGTATACTGCATCATGACGGGTCATAATATACTTCAGGAAATTGACTCTAACAAAAAACGTGGAATGTCAGTGCTACACGATCACCTACGGTTAGACTTAGTACAATTCAAATAGCTATGAGGATGTCTGGGAAATAAGAAGTTTTACGTATTTGTTGATTTTGTATCAAAAACTTAAACTGACCGTATTGTCAGTAAACAAGTGTGAAGTGATGTCACAAGGATACTTGCGAGGAAGCCTACACTCAAATTACACTTACCCGATCGTACAACTCCACAATTAAATGATAAGCAGACGACTCATAACCAATCTGGATATCAACAACGCGATCGGCTCCGACTTGGGAGATATCAACGATCTTCTTGTTTCGGATATGTTTACGCAGCTGTAATTAAAAGCATTTAAGATAAGGATAATTAAAGACCATTCAATTCATACAATTGATTTTTACACAGGATATGCATTAATGTTAATAAGTGAGTTAATTAACACACCTTCATGGAAAATCCTGACGGCATGATATTTTTAGGCCAGTCAAAATCAGTAATATGTAAGCGTGAGCCAGATTCTAAAAGCAATATCGCCTTGTCGTCAGACTTCGTGCTGAAGGAAAAACATAACTTAAAAATGAATAATTACCTAGCAAGTTTTAAAAGATATGTTTTATTGTCCACATCGTAAATATTATTGACCCTGTAACCCAGTATTCTTAACCATGAGATTTTTTATTCTGAATAAACTTACTGATTTTTTATTTCTGAAACAGATACCATTACGTCAAATGTCGTGTACAAAAGCTTCATTCTCGCACATATGTAACGCAACAATTCCTTTATGTCAACGTTTATCCACATTTGTCCTTGAACAGATTCGGATTTTCAGAGTCAAATTTGTGTAGTAGGGACAGCAGACCTACGATCCATGTTGGTCTTTTCTAGCACGTTACTGTGAGCGTTCGCCCTTCTCTCGAATGAATAAAATGAAAGTGCGGACACCATTGAGTCGGATATCTTAGCGTGACACAGCTACTAAAATTTGATGGCTCTGTGTGAAGACCTGTGTGCCATGTATATTTTGTCCGTTCATGACCTTTTCTTGTATTTTTACGAAATAATGATTCCTTTGTACTTGATTACAACTTGATTACGAATACGATACGATCATTCCTGCTGAATATAATTTGCTAGCTCATGGCTTTTCTACTCACCTGCTATATACTCTGAGTTGTCCAGATTTGAAAACAAGGAATTGAGAGGATATATAAATTCCAAAATCACTTCTTATGAATTCATAGGTCAAAATTAGATCACCACTCAATCTTTGGTAGAACAGATGAAATAGGTCTAACTATTCAAACCGCTCGTTGTATGGCAAACCCCGGAGTTCTGGAACTGCACGGGTTGCTGCTCTCTGTACTTTTTCCAGAATATCCAGGTCACCTTTTAAATAGTGAATTGCACCCTCAACGTAGTCTTCAGGATTGGTTCTCACTCAGGTTGTGCATACGTTATTATCTAACTTGGTGAATGTCCGTCTTGAAGCATGTACGGTTCTCAACCTTATAGCTGCAACCTCACGGTAGTTGATCATGGTTTTAAGACCATGACTCACTGTCTGCACAAGGTCGTTGTGAAACCGAACCATGGGTACAGACTTTTTCCCTATGTGGTGCTTAGTTACATTCGTATCCCCATTGTGCATGCAAACTCACTGGGCTGCGTTGATAGGTACCAGCCACTTTATTTAGACCAGCTGACCACAATATTTAATTCTACCTCAAGTGCACATGCACCTGTGTCTCGATTTTATTTCTCGCCAAATGTTTACATCATCAGCGTTTTAGGAAACAATTTCCTACAGGTGTAATTCCAAGCTATACTCCCGACTGTCAATCACAGAGTCTTGGTTTAGCCAAAGTCAAGACAAGTAAGCAAAATGGCTCGACAAAATTTATTTGCTCTTAAAACATAAATAAATACCGTAAGTATTCAAAATAAACAGTACAGTTCATTAAACACAATTTACATATCGAACAGTAACTAGAGGTTAGTAAAGATGCCACAGGTATTTGGAGTTTGACAGCGCTCTAACCAGTAACATCTGTGGATCAAACACACCAAGTGAAATCAAAAGGCAGAAGCGAAGAGGTTCGAAGATGAATTTGATAGGCCATCAATATATCGAAGAGTGACTGATCCAGGCTGGCTAGCGTTTGCAGGGGATGTCGAGCACGGCGTTCCCACTCGTAATGTGGTGCCGATGGCTGCAATTAAACGCAACTCAATTTCGTAAATGTGCCCTTCAGCTTAGCAACCAATCAGAATGAGGCGGGAATTATTACATCCGCCATCTTTGTAAGCAATGGCAGTCGGCTCTCTTCGTTCTGTGCTTCTTTCAGCTATTTCTTTTGTGAAGCTATGTAATCTAATGTCTCAGTGTGCTAAAATGCCGCAGTTAGTGTAATGTTCTATATGTTGGTGTGAAGCTTATTTCGAATCAGCGATGTTTTCTGGGTTTTTGCTGCTTCTACTCAAGTCAATGTATTTCTTCAGGCAATCTGGTTAGTCTTGTGTTATAAAATGTCGGCCGGCTTTCTACGTTCTGTGTTTTTCCGCTATTTCTTTTGTGTGGCTACAGAATTTAATGTTTCAGTGTGCTAAAATCCAAAAGTTAGTGTGATACTCTAAACGTTGGAGCAAAATTTTTCCTGATTTCGCTTTGTTTTCTGGGCTTTACCTGCTACTATTGAAGTCACTGTATTTATTTAGCTAAGCTGGCTAGTACTAACATAAGACCTTACGTTTTTAAACGACAATCGGTTATGTTTTACCTTGTTTTCTAAATATCCAAAACCGAAGTTCGTTTTTATTTAGCTAAAATAATTGTTGCTGATGCCTGTGACTCTAACTGTTCGGATGTTCGTTCCTAACTGTCCTTTATGATGTTATCGGCAAAATGAAAGGAAACAATCTGCGTTTTTTTAATTTTCTTCAGTATTATGGACAACACTATCCCACCAACGAGTCAAACGAATACAGAATGCCCAGTAGTAGGGTATATCGGTATTGGTTTCGAAAGGACCCAGACTTCCGACAACTATAGATGAAATAACAGATGCTACCAATCTATTGCAGAGGGTTTGTTATGAAAAATATGCCATATAGCAGTAATAGAGGGGTTGTACTCATTAAGCAGTGCGTTAAAGCAAGCTTAACATTGAAAAGCCGGAAATCTGCTACCAGTGTGAAGTGTATGTTTGCTGTTTTGGCCATAAAAGGAAGTCGAAGGGTCATGATCAGGGAGTAAAAAGGTAATTAACTGTTATTAAGCTCACTTTTTTATAGATCATATTTCACCACTCTCAAATTTGTGTTTTTTTACGGTATGATGTCAACTGGTACCTAATATGTTCACCCTTACGATGAAAAGTACCTGCAAATTTTCACCTTCATATTCGAATCACTTTTGCACAACTGTCTTACAGTCCGAGTGCTTCGTACGCCCCGAGAAACTCTATTTCTACAACATTCGTAGTTCCAGTATAACTTACTCATGCAGTAAGTTCAAATTAGACACTAATCTTTCTAAATAAGCCTGTTAAGCTGATATCCGTATTCTCTATTTCAGTTAATCGATGAAGACATGTACCACGTACATCTGCTGTATACTGCCATTTTACTCCAATTCTAACTGTTATATCTTACTTTTGAATAATAAAATAGCTATATGCAGCAAATACAGACTTATTTGTTTTGATGGAGGTAGGGGGGTTGATGGGATTTTCAGCAGGACCGTATTAATATTCTCACTAAGGAGCTAAGCGAGTGCGTAAACCAGTGCAAGGTACCATACGGGGTGCATTTGAGTTACTAGTGTTCCATTAGTGCGGGTAGGGGCATTGCTTGCTTGTCATATGGCATTTGAATTAGAAGCTATAAGATAAGACGCAGGTACGGTTAGGATGTGTAACGCGTGTCCATCCATCAGCTGCCGTGACAACCCATGGTGGTTAGAATAAGCTATGAGAGGACCCGAGTCTGTAGGTCTCCAAAGAAAATGACGAAGATATGCACCAAATCACCTTATGAAGAGCGCCTCCAATCACTTAACCTCTACTCATTAGAGTATAGACGTCTTATAGGTGACCTAATGGCTTACAATAACCTTAACACTTCTGGACATCCTCTAAAACACCTGCTTAAGTTTAGTACCAATACCAACCTAAGGGGCAACACCCATAAATTGGAGACACAACATTGCAGAACGGACTGAAGACACAACTCTTACTCCTTGGAAGTTGTCAAATGCTGGAATTGTTTGACGGCTGAGCTAGTCCAAGCGACTTCCCAAGAGTCCTTTAAGAGGCAAGTGGATTTATTCTTAAGGATTAAGGATAGTATCATACTATGATTTACCAATTTCTCTTTCCTCTTTTATTGTTAACATACCTAGGTTCCTGCCTGGAGGTTTTGGTGACCCTCTGCTACTAGACACGGAAGCTTGTTAAGCGAAAGCTCCTTCCATTCCGTCCACAACCATTTGAACACATGAACTAGGTGCTGAGAGGCTCGCTTATCACAAGTTTCTTGCGACGATTAAGTAGATAAAACAAAGTAGCATTAGATTCAAAAATTTATTCGAGAACTTTCATTAAAAATCGAATATCAAACAAAGGCTTAAACCAAGTTCCCGTTTAAAAGTTGTATTGGTAATGTTAAGCTGCAGTTTTTGTTGTTTTTTCCAAACGAAAGAGCAAAAGAAGTCAAAAAAATATTGGAACCGGTTGTGAGACTAAAACGGAAGTCCAGCATCCTTTTTATAATCTGCTGTTCTTTGGGTCTCCCGTAATCAGTTCCATAGGGCCATAGTTCCAAGGGCGAAACAGTTCTTAGGGTCGGGGAAGGCTTTTCGTGCCTTGAAGTAACCCTCGTGCTACTGATAGAAGAAACCAGACAAGTAGTGAATAGGTCTTTATTTCGATCTTCGCACAGTCACAGTGGAGCGTGGGATTATCTGTTCAGACAAACAAAGGTTCTCAACATTCGATATAAGATAATAGGGAATATAACGCTTATAAAAAATAAGGAAGTGAATGAATACTTGAACAATACTGTTTTGGCATAAGCTTGGTTGTTTGGGGTCAACCCTTAACCAATCAACCGGAGCTGTTACATTAGCTTCCCCCTAGAATCGACTTCCGTAGGAACGCCGGTTCGATTAACCTATCTATCGAAAACACCTTAGTTCTATTTCTCATCCCAAGGAAAAATTATCAACTCACTCACTATTTGACTTACAATCAGTGACGACTAACGCTGTCAACGATAGTCCATGGATGTCTCCTCATTTACTAGCTTGTCATCTTATTTTGTAGCATGTGATCTATTCTACAACTATCGCTGACGGTTTTCTGCGTAATTTCAAGAGAAAGAGTGTGAGAATGTGGAATAAGAATATCTGAGGAAGTGCCGCGAGCGGGCTACCCAACACCATGTTGGTGAGGTACGATTTTTCCATGCTCAGACCGGCTATCAGGTGTTTACTCACCTGCCTCTTTAGTCGCCCTCAAGTAAAAAGTAAAGAAGAATCTACTTCAAAGGTAATGGTGAAAACCAATCACACCTGAAGAACTGCTCCACTGCCTGCATAAAAATAATAAGATACAAAATGGAAATACATAAATATAATTTATAATTGTTCGGTTCCACGTAAGTGATTGGCCTCCAGAAAGGATTGGTATTCTGGAAGAAAATAGACATAGTGTAGCCATCTTATGTACGAAAAGGTATGAAAACAAAAAAAATACTTTTTTATAATGCATATATGTAAAAGTGTAAACTTGCTAGAAGTTGGACTCATT